ATTGGATAATAGCTTACTATATAGAAATTTATAAATTTTTTTTAAATTCTTCGCTTTTTATATAATAAGTTAAAATATTAGTAAGTAATTATTTTTAATTTAGGAACAGTAGTTTCACCAATTATTAATGCTGAGGATCTTGTTAAAGAATGGAATTTTGTTCATATATTACTTAAAAACTTTATATCACTAAAATTTTTAGAAACTTGGAAAATATTATATTAACAAATTCCAAAATTTTCTATTCTTTATCCAAATTCAGATAAAATTATTGTATTATTTCTTACACTTCCACTTTCTAATGCTGTAGTAGGACAAGTATTTTCACTTCAAAATTTAATTAAGACTAAACTTAGAAATTGGTTAAATATTAGTACTCTTAATTATCTTTTGTTAATTTCTTTAAATAGCTCATCTATAAATAAATTTGATTTTGAACATGCATATGAAATTTGGACAAATTCTTCACGTAGATATAATAATTAATTAGAGTTATTATATAAGCAAATTTTATAATATTTTTAGACTTAAATAGTAAAATTTAATACAATTATAAATAAAATTTAATTTGATTATAAAATTTTTATAAATAAATATTAGTTTATAATTATAGTAAACTTTTTATTTAAATTTTTATAAATTAGATTTTTATATTTCAAATTTATTTTTTAATAATATTATTATCTAAAAATTATAGTAATAGATTTTAGTAAACTTATTTTATATAAAAATTTTAATATTAGATACATTTTATTTAATTAATAATTTTTATTATAATTTTTTTTATATAATAAATATATTTTTTATAAATACATTTAGTATTAAATTAATATTAAAAATTTAATAGTTTTAATTTAGTAAAATATCAATATAGTATATTATAAAATTTTTATTAATTTATATATTTTTTATATATTTAAAATTTTTGTAAAAAAAACTAATAGACCCTCTCTCCCCGTCTATTACTCGTACAAAATTTTTCTAACAAAAAAATTGCTAAATAATTAAATAACTCTAAATTTTATTAAGCCAAC